TGATAATGCTAGAAAGATGGACGACTGCTGCTGAAGCTAATGAGAGAAATGGAAGTATAGGCGCATTAATGAAAAAGGAAGAAGTGCTATCACAATTTATTCTGGCATGTAAGAAGAACAGAGACGACAAAATTCTTATATTGGAATTCAGCTTATTTTAAATACAATGGTTTTGTCTGCTGCTGTCATTTACAAAGACGTCTAGATTGATTAGTTTTTAACACAGGTATATAAAAAATGGAATAGATGGATTACTGAGAGGAAAGACCTTTGTCATAGCAGATGCAAGGGATGTGGGCATTCTCTTCCTCCTTCCAACGTCTCAGCAAAATGAATGAATTCTGAAATAGATGTACTCTGAAGAAAGTACAACACACATGGCTTTTGGCTGCCAGATGCTGTTTTCACAAACATTACCAAGAGCAAAGTTTGCTTTATCAGAAACACATTTGTTTGAGAAATTTGTTATAAAGAACAGTTGAAATCCTTTAATTAAAGCATTTACTAATATAAAACAAGATGGAGAGAAAAAAAGAATCTCACTACCTGGGCTTACTTGATTGAAAAGGCTGGTGTTGGATTATTTAGCAAACAGAGACCTACGTAGGTCTCTGTATTATTATATTATGCCTTCACTTAAAGAAATTAGTACAAGAATTCACACTGTAATTCAAGAGCCATAATATTCAATTATAGTGATTTTTATTTCTTCTAATTAACGTATTCATACAAATGAATTGAAAGGTGTAATCACAAACATCGGTTGCTCCCAATCCATCATCATATTGCTAACAGATCTAGCTTAATCACATTCTACCAGGCTTTTTTGATTACACAAATTATTAGTCAAGTCTCATTTCACTTAGTCTCTGAATGGATACATTTTGTTCATCAGAGCTAAGTGAACTTTGCAGGAGACTTGCTGTTTTACTTGTTCTTTCACCCATATAATTAGAGCAATTTAATGAAAAATAATTAAACACCTGGTCTAAAATTTCATCCCCTGAAGGATTTTGCAGGATAGAACTGGCATCTATCAACTCCCTGAGAAATCGTTACAAAAATGCAGTTTAAACAAGTTCCTCCAAAGGAATTCAGACATATAAAAACAGTACAGTTCTGCACGTTAAACTGAAACTGATATCTGCTGTCCAAGAGCGAGCCTGGGACAACCTCTTAACACACATACAAGATGGGCCAACGAGGTCCCAGCCACTCACAATCACAGAAGTGCTAGGGAGCACGTTAATCCCCGGCAGCCTTGGTTGCAGCAGCCATCAGAGTGGAATTTGTGATCCTGAGGGAAGGAAGGAAGGCAGTTAGCAAATCTGGAGCTTCAGGAGAGCAGACTTGGGCTTGTTCAGTGAATTGGTAGCTGGGATCATGTGGGAGGTAGCTCTGAAAGGCAAGTTTGAGAGAGCTGACAGATTTTCAGAGACAACCTCCTCCTAACAAGGATGGCCCATCCTGAGGGGAAGAAAAAAAAAGTCTAGACTATCAAGAGAGTGACATGGCTAAATGGGGAACTCACATCTGAGTGCTGATGTAAAAAGAACATTAAAAAAAAGATTGAAGCAAAGACAGACTTGAAAGGAAGGACGCTGATAAACTGCCTGGGCATGCAGGGTTCCCGTTGGGAAAAACAAAGTTCAATGAGAGTTGAAACTAGCAAGGGACGCGGCAGGCAACACGAGTTTCTGCAACTACTTTAGCAATGAAACTATAAAAAACAAGTGGAACCACTATTGAGTAAGGCAGTGATTAATGAGAGGTATTCAGTGCTCTTTTTGCCTCTCTTTGCTGTTTTCCCAAGCCTTTGGTCCTTGACTTAAAGAAACAATCAGAAAGAGGAAACAGTTATGTATCTCAAAAAATTTCAGCTCAGAAAAGTCTGCAGGGCCTGACAGGATGCATCCGAGAGTGGCTGGCTAATGTTAGTGCAAAGCACTTCTCTATTATCTTAGAGGGGTTATTCCATATAGATGGATGGACAGCTAGCTGAACTGTTTCACTCAAAACCCATTGGTTAATAGAAGTACAGGAAGGTTTCATAAGCCAAAACAGAAGGTTCCAACTTGATGAGACAAAAAGTGAAATAATTTTCCAGAGTTACAGAAAAATGCACTGAAATAAACACTTCACTCAGTCAATTATATTTTGCAGATTACTATTTTGCCATACTAAGTTATGGTATGTTAACTTAATGTACACGAATGGCTTAAGAAGAAAGACTTTCATTAGCATGCTGGCTAGGTATAACTTAAGTATTGTGTTCAGAGAAATAATTTTTAGTAACAAAGTTGCAGTTTAAGGTATTGCTTAAAACTCTTGATTACATACCAGAACATTAGCATTACCAGGAATAGATATCCTATTCTTGATTACGTAATCAAGATTATGTAGTCAAGAAAAACTTCTGAAAATAATATTCAGAATACAAACTACTTTTAATCACCAGCTAAATACCAAGATACTGGCACTGATTACTTCATTGCTCTAATGACATCTGTAATGGATTCCAAGTGTTGCGCTTGATTGCTTTCCAGCTGATCAGGATTCTGTTCATCACTTCTAGCTGCTGGCATTCTGAGATTTCTTGGAGTTCCTTTGCACAGGCCTCAAACTTGCTTCAGATGGAAAGCTACAGTGCGTGCTTTAAAACAGTTGTTGTAAACATACTCAATTCTCCATGATGAAACATATTAGGAAAGGAATGTTTGGGGTTTTGTGTTTATTTTATTTACAGGCAGTGGTTACAAAGCAATAAAATCCAAAGAACCTGATAGACATCAGCCAACAGATCATAGCATATAACCGAATCTCAGCTGACTGTAGCTTTCTTTAATAAAGTATGCTGCAATAGCAACAATGATACACTGCCATCAGCCCTGACTTTAATGTAGTTTTAATATAGCTGATAAACACAGGTGATTTAAAAGGTAATCTGCGATACTGAATAAGATACATGTAAGCAAAATTCACAGTTGCTAAAATTAAACAAAAGCCTTATGTAATTTTTAATTGTTCCTACTTCCTTTTATTGAACTAAGACAGGATTTATTTTTAGAGAGACTCCTCTGCGGAACAGCATGGAATAACTGAAGTACCATACAAGTACAAACATGCAGTATCAAGGTCCAAACATTGCTGGCTAGAGCAGTGAAATTGTATTTGAGAGGTAATGTGTTTGAGAAATATGACATCTCAAGCACAGTACTAGTACCAGAAAGAGATCTGTGCTATTTGGTAATGGAATATGAGGTCTTTTGGCTCTCTGCTTTTTTTTTTTTTTAATCTGGGCTATCACTGATGCATACTGCATTTTCAAACATGCCCACAAGTGAATAAATTTAGGAAATCATTCCTCCCTGAGTAGGAAGTCACCTTGATTCCTAGAGTTTAGCATGTAATGTGGCAGAAAACTAGAGAAAACAACTGCAGTATTTCCAAGTATTTCAGAAACCATCACTGTGAAGAACTTGGAAAGATTTCATTTTTAACATCAGGAGATTTCCATTTGATTAAAAAAAAAACAACAACAAAACACAGCAAATAAGTTCTTATTTGCCACCAGCTTGGCTTCCTAGCGCCAGTGTCTTGCAACGTCTTATAAATGAACAGCTATTAACAAGTCACCCCAAAGAAACCGTCAGAACAAGAAGTTGTTAAAATGTAGTGAGGGCTGTCTCACTTTGAAACATATTTTCTCAGATTTTTTATTTAACCTTTTTTGTGATCTGAAAGAGTTCCTATTCCAGAGACTGAGAAAAAAAAGTAGGAGAAAATTGTCTGAAAAGCCCATTATTTCACTTGAAAATACACATCCACACAGTTTAAACTATTGTTTCAAATTATTTTAAACACACAGATTCAGATTTACCTCTCTTAAATATTTTTTCTGTCAGCCTTGAAGTATCACATTATATCTCTCTGCCCTTTGGGCAAATAGTGACAGAATGCTGATCCCGAGATGTCTCTATGAAACGCAATGATTCGCTTCTATCTCAGGCTCTCATCAGTTTGGACAGAAAGACAAAGGGCTGACTGCAATGTTGAGTTTATATGGTTACCAGCATAAGACAGAACAAATCATCTGCGCAAAACTACAGCAGTGAAGTAGGATAAGTATTGTTGGTTCAGTTGTGAGAAAGATGTCCAGTACACTCAGATCTTGCTGTGCAGTTAAATGCCAGGAAGCACCATCTCAGGAAGAGTGAAGTATGAAGGACTCCCATTTCTGAAAGCTCTCTTGTTGCATCATTGCACTGTCAAGTGCAGAGCTAAGACTGTCTGCAGCTCGGCTTGTTACCAGGGCTAAGAAATCAAAGATGCTTTGCACAGATCTGCTTTTGAGACCACTTGTCAATTTGCAAGATTACTTCCATTCAGAAAGTATGAGTCTATTTTAAAGTTACAGCTGTGAAATTTTGGAACCCACTTTTCTATATCCTCTATTGTTTTTCCTGTGGCTATACACTCAAAGACACTGATCTGTGCTTCCTACAGCAACATGACAGAATGCTACAGCTTCAATTTGCTGACTTTTAGCATTTTAATAATTTAAATATTGAAGCAGTGGAACTTATTAAGCTTTAGAAAGAGCTTTGCTCACTTTGGTAGCTATAGCTACCTTTCTTTTTACTAAGCATTGTTTTTCCCAATGGCTAGAATCACTGTTTAGCTTATCAAAGCAATTTGTTTAGAATAAAGAATTTTAATATGTCCTCTCAAGATGTTTATTTCAAAGTGCATTTCCTCAGGGCTAGCCCCAAACCCTGATCCTAGCAAACAAACAAACAGCTAACAGAAATGCCCCCCTGAAATTAGAAACACATCAAATAAGATGAACAAATGAGACCGTATCTCAAAAATAATCTAAAAAAAAAAAACAAACTATTTTTTCCAAACACCAAAATAGTAGGCTACCAAATGCTATGAAAGCATATTGTGAAGTAAAGAAAATAGATTTATGATCCACTCCACAGTTTTAATTGCCTTACCTGGCATTCCATGGATAAGATCTCCACACAACACAAAGAACTTGGGTTTAGGGTTTAGTTTGTTAATGGCCTGTACTGCTTGCTCTGTTAATTTGATTTCTTCTCCCCATTCATCATCTCCACTTCCTGTATTGCCAACTGCCCAAGCTTTTATTAGTCCAAATTGAGGATCTGCTCCTTGGATGAAGTAGAAAGGTCCCTTCCATTGGTACTCATCACCTAAAAACATTGAAAGAATTAAAAACTATAAATAAGTAAATATTGGCTTTTCTTTACCTACATAAGTTAAGGCCATATTAAAGAAGTATAGAATTCTTTATTCATTTGTATTGGACAAATATAAAGGCAGAAGTACAAATTTTTCTTCTAATGGGTAGCTGTAGTAAATGAAAGTATATTAATCTAATTTATACACTGGTAATTGCAGACTAATTAGAGGAAAACTATGTAAAGAACTCAGTAAATACTGTTGGGAAATGCAAGATTACAATACAGCAGAAGCATATGACATTACATTTCACTGGATTCTTTCAAGACTCCAATAATTTTGTTTGTTTGTTTTCAGTATTTCAATCATCAAAATGTCATTGACTACATTGATGTAGCTGAACCTGGAAAAAAAAAACCAAACCCAAAACAGTACAGCAAACAGTCTCAAATTATACTATAGGAATACACTTTTATATAATGTCAGTCTTATCAGAAACAGCTCGAGTCGATCCTGGTTTTATTCTCCACTAACAGTACATAAGCAAGCAGCATGCCTATCACATGGGTTTACTTATGGTGTTCTTTTAAGTGGTCTAGAACTGGACCTTCTTACATTGTAAGATGAGTAATATGATTTTGTCAAGGAAGATAAGACAGCAGGGGTTAGAATTCAGCTGCACTGTGGATATGGATGGGTAGGGGTGGAGGAGAAGGAATGTGGGCAACTCCTTGTAGTATGCTGCTGCCTGTTGCTATGGCATCAGATGATTTTGCTAAATGCAAGCTTCTACATTTTAGTTAATGTAACATTTAAGGATCAAAATTACTTATCTGATAAAATTGTTTGCTAATTCATACTGGCATTCCTTGTTATGCATCATAATCCTGTTTTATAGATAGAACTTTCAGATTTTAATTCTGAAATGAACTTTTCCAATTACATAACTTACTTGGAGAAGCAAAATGATCTACCCATGAGTTTTCAGTAGAAGCCTTATGGAACTGCTTCAATGGCACAAAGCAGTTTAGGTTTTTATTGTGTGTTTTGCATGAAAAAAATGATAAATATGACTGTCATAAAAATCAGCTTGTGTGCTGCATCAAAGGCACTGTCTGCACAGAGAAATTATCTTACAGGTTTTATAAGTGGAAAGTTATAAAGACATGACTTAAAAAAGCTGGCATGAGAAATCTTTTACAGCCTATACAAAATAAGGCTGGAAAGAGAAAGTCTGACACAAGACCTTGTTGAGGAGAAGTGCTACAACCTCAAACTCATCAAATAGATGCTTAGGGAAAAAAAAGCTGAGATTCTGAACAAAGCGACCAGACTCTTAACATCTGTCCCTTTGAGACAGTAACTTGGAAGCAAGATCTACTTACTTTGCATTGATGAATCTGAAGCCAATAGCTTTTACAATAGTAAGCTAAATAAATATAAAGGCATTTGTCTATTTATTTTTACAGGAACCACTTTGAAAATAGAAGTAATATTTGTTTTGAAGGATGAGGTTTCACTTTTAGGCATATGGTTTCTCTCCCCTCCTGAGCCCTTGGGGTGGCACAGCAGCTGGTGCAGCTGCAGCAGCCCGGGCAGTGGGATCAGACCTGGAGCCAGGTGATGAGGAGGTGCACCCATAGTGTTTGAGTAGAGAAAAGCAGCAAGCAGGCAGTGTGCTTTCTGGCAGCCTGCAGAGTGGGAACAAAACAAGTTGCAAGGCCAGAGCAGAGGCTATTCTAATATAAGCTTTGTGGATTTTTTCCTCCCCTGCCTTATATCTATGCCAGTACAGTAACTCTGTAGGTTGTAAGCATCTGAATGTTTCCAAGAGTGAGCACAGATGCTCCTGTTTGAGTGGGTGGGTGATGGTGATGGTCATGTGAGGAAGAGAGAGACACACACATAGAAAAGATGAATTTGTAAAGAGAAGTTCAGTACACAGACAGAATCAAGAAGTGGAAGAAAAAAGGAGAAACAGAAGATGCAGGGGTGGAGGTGGAGAAGAGTGGGGAGAAAAGGAAAGAGATAAGAAGTGAAAAGAGAAAAACTGAAAGCGATGCTACAGTCCCATGTGGGAAAGAAAGATAAAAAGGAATAAACTTAAGAAAATGAAGTGGGGGGGAACAGGAGAGATACAGGAATCAGGACGATATAAATAACGTTTACTTAAAGAATTAGTTTAATTAACTGATCTTTGTCAAATAATATACTCATAAGCTCTTTTTGTGGTTTTTTTTTTTGAGAATTCATCAAATAGTTTAAAAAAATTACAGTGACATTGAATACATTTTCTGTACCATTTCCTTATTGCTCAATTACTCCAACTAGAAACCCAATTAAAAAAAATAATCCTACCAGTATTCAAACGAATTTGAAACAGCTTATTTATCATGTGGTATTTATCGATTTAGCTCAGTACATACCAAACTCCCCACAAAGGAACTCCCAGTACAATTCATGCAAACAAAAGAATATATGGACATCCACTTTACTTATCTCTTAAGTGTTTGTTTATCAAGAACATGGTTCATTTACTGTGAAGTACTATGAACAAAAGAAAAACATCATAAAGGAAATTATATTAATACAACAGCAATGGTGACAGCACATTCATCAGTACAGTCAATTGCCATGCAAAAAGTCCACCTTCTGAAACTGTTCTTATGCCTCAGTTTCAATAGCTTCCCACTCTTACTCCACTCCTATGCACGCCAAAGTACAGAGGATCAGTGCAACATATTTTTAGTTGCATAGGCTGAAAAATGATGCCAGCTTCTAATTTTATCTAACGATTAATCCTGCGAAGGGCCAAAGCAGTTGGCAGCAACATGCAGGAGAAAAGCTCAGTGGTGCATTGTGCTCACGAACACAAAGATTCCAACAGCCTAGATGGGACCTGAGTCAAACCTCGCCATTTCCAGAAGAGAACAGCTAACATCTCCATGTGCCTTTATTTCTTCCCCTTTTGCTCTTTGTAATGTCTTCCCTTTTCTTCCCCCTTTCTCCGAGCATCACAAAGGTACATGCTAGAGACACATCATCACAAGCAGACTCATGACAGCCCCACAGTACTGGTGGCATATCCAGTGCTTCCCAGGTGGGATTTTCAACAGCAGTGAGATGTACCTTTGAGGCTGGTTTGTTTTTCCTCTAGACTCTACAACATTTCACAGAAATGAAGCATTTAGGAGAAGTTATTCCTGCCTGCATCTGTAAGTGGACAGAGGAGAATGGATGTAGGCACACAGCTTGTGCTTGTTCAGTATAACAATGGCAGTAACAAATACAAAAAACCAAAGATTAAATACTTTTGTTTTGCTTTTTGCAACTTCTGAAACATTTTATTTTGGAAGATAAGAGGGACTTGGGCCATCTTTCTGTTTTTACATACGAAATGACAGGTTCAGTACATGCTTTCTTGCTCTTAGTTGTCTGTCTATAAAATATGCCCATGATTTTTTTTCAAGATTAGATTGGATTGAAAGAACATCTTCGGTGTTTTAAAAAAAGATCTAAGCAGGAAGCAAAATGTAAATTTTAATTAGTTTATTTATTTATTTATTAAGTGAAGGCAGTATTTGTACATTACAAGCAGAAGAAATGGCAAAAAAATCTTCAGTGCAACTGTTACCTTTAAGACAATTTGTTTTCATTCCTCTCACTTGTGGCATGGCTTAAAAACCAGTAAGGTACTTGCCCCAAACCCTTAATAGTTTCTTGTTCACTATTAAAACATTATCAATAGTTTCAAAAAACACCACTACTACTACTTGGATGTCCAAACAAAAGATTTCAATCTAATTAAGTGTTCATTCCTTTTAGCTGGGTTTTCCTGGAGTACCTGAGAGACTACCACAAGGTAAGACAGTAGAATTCTGCTGACTGACCAAGGGGAAATATTCTCAAATAATTTAAGCAATGCTACTATTTTTAAAATATAAACTTCTAAAACGTCAAGGTAAGAAACGCCCCCTCAAACACAAACAATTTATGTGTACTGAGGGCTATTAGATGCTAAATCCTAGTCATGCCCACCCCCAAATTTAATATATTTATATATATATTTATATTATTACAAACTTACTGCAGAAAATACACTAATTTCTTCATCCCAAGACTATTGGTGTGAAGGGGGATGACTTGCATAATGACAAGGTGAGGTCACAGAAGGTTGCTTAAAGCCCACTCAAGATACGCCTCATTCATATGAGAGTTGGAGACAGTATTAGGAATTAGAATATGCCAGCTGGGAAGCTGCTCTTGATTTGTTCTGACCAGAGGAAAACCTCACTCAAAAATACTGCGTTGAAGAGCTCCAGGGTGGTAGTTTATAATGTGCAGAGATCCATCCTTCACGTGAAAGCAATAAAAAAGAAACCAACTGCAGTTGTATTTATTTTCAAAGGAAAGGGAATTATATATAATTACGAAGCTTTTAAAAAGAGCAGAACTCCTTAAAGGCAGTGTGGAAACTGTTCAAAGACACTATTCCAGAGGTTCAGACCATATGCGCAGCGTCTTCTGAGAACTTGAGAAGACAAAAAGAATCCAGCTTGACTAACCAGTAAGAGTCAAGAACAACTGGAAAGCATATTAAAGCCCTTTTCAGAGGCGTGATGAGAGGGTAGATTGCCAGAATGTCATTTAGACTAAAAAACATGCAAGATGCTCCCAAAGACAAAGACAGGAAACAAAGTTCTACAGCCATGTTCATTGCAGAAGAACCCAAGACCAGAATCCTCCCTTACAGACAGAACATGTTTGACTGGAATCATATCTGACATTATTTATTGTGGTGATTTCACCTTTCTCATCAACTCTGATCTGGTCATGACATCCATTTCCTGTACACCCTACCATGAATTTAGACACTGAAAGATTCTGAGGGCATTAGGAAATGCTCCCTCCTGCATCATGCAGTTGCCCTACAACTCTTTTCTCATACATACTGGATACCATGCAAGAAATACAAATCCTATTTCCTCCACTTAAGAAAAAAAAAATGACTCGACAACAGCTGATGGCACTATCACTAGTTTAATTACTTTAAAAAAGAGCTCGACATATTTCCACAGAAATTCTCTGCATGGCATGGTATTAGCATTAGAGATTTTGGGACAGGTAGCGGAGAAGATGACAGTATTTACCCTAAAATACACTCCTGTATATATTCAGTATAAGACCAATAAAACTAGTAGACAACTGAAGTGTCTTTTCTGCCTATGTGAAATTACAGAGGATATATTTAAAAAAAAAAAAAAAAGACAAAGAATACAGAGGTCTCTTTTCAATAAAGCGAAGAACTGATGTGTTCCTTTATCCAACACTCCAGCAGCTACATGGGTATTTTAGACCTGTTTGAGCTTCTGGTTCATGAGTGATATATGAAGAGTGGATCAGAGCACATCTTGTGTAGGCAGACTGAACAGATGACTATTAGGGGATAGGTGCGAAAACATGGCTTTGCAGAAGAACTTAGAATTAAAAAAAAAAAAAAAAAAAAAAAGGAAAGAAAGAAATTAAGCCCTAAGGGGCGATTCTCAAATTGTGAAGGAAGTACTGTGCCAAGCTAAAGTAGTGCTGGCAAATATTTTGTGTGGTTATCTAACAAAAGGAATAATTCCTGGAGAATGAATGAATGCTAAGACAGAGGGAAACACACAAACTCAACAAAAGAGATCAGATTCAATTGATTTTCATTCTAAATAAGAAGAAACTTTGCCTCAGTTTTGTTAACCCTTGATTATGTTTTTTTAAAACTCTTTATCATTAAAAGGTTGTGTTGAACTTTAGTCTCTAAGAAAGAACTAGTAAAACATTAACACAGAAACACTGTACTCAGGGATGGTAGGTGGATATGATAGCTAACACATCCTAAACAAGCCAACAGTAATTGACAGAAGTCTTAACACAATTTGAAGAACATCAAACAACAAACTTCAAAAGAAAGGGCACTTGGATGACTGATACCTAAATCACATTTTTTCATCCATGTTTAAGGCAGTTTTCAAGAAATACTTGTTACGTTTTTTTGTTAGAGATTTTTACTCTGCCTTTGAACACTCCTTTTATTACAGTGGATGTAACTAAATGGCTTGTCTGTCATCTGTCCCCTCAGTAATTGCCACACATCCTGTTCCAAACCAACCAGAGCACCCACAATTATTAACAGGCTGCCAGAATGACTGAATATGTATACTTCACACGCTCAGAATTATCGTCTTCTTTTTGTTTAGCAACAAGTAAATATTTCCAAACAATAACCAAGAAAATACCACAAAATTGCTGAGATTGAATAGCCCTGCCCACCTCATAAAGACATACCACGTATAATTTATAAAAAACTGCATGGAAACAGAACACCTTCTACGTGTGAAAGTACTAAAGAACCGCTGAAGACGGAGCTTGTTACGTGCCTGAGAAGTCAGAATGCCCATCCTTACAGAATTCTACGAGTAGATGAGAAGCACGTTGTGAATATCCACGTGTATTTGATGGCCCATCCAAATGAGCAGCAGCAGCAGGTGAGAGCCATCTCTGGGCTCGCAGCAGCCTCAATATTTAATTGGCCTAGGGGGAGGTGAGCGTGGAACCACATCTGCTGCCAGCCCAAGTGGGTTACGGTGCTGTCTCAGTGCCAGGCGAGGAACCAGCAGCGGTCCTCCACCTTGAAGGAGGCTGGAGCACCCCGAAGAAACCAGAACCCACTTCTGTTAAGCAAGCAAAGAACAGGCACACAAAGGCGCAAACGTAAAAGCACAATACAACACGTGAGATGAGAGCACGCTGCTGGTGCCAACAGTTTTACAATTTGCGCAGCACAAGTTCAGCAGCACAAATAGAAAAACCACCATTCGTTCTAGATCTGGCGTCAGACGTAGTCGGCCTTTTCCCCGCGGCGCAGCCGCCTCCGCCTCCAGCGCTCAGCAGAGCCCCGGCTGCAGCGCAGCACGGAAACCGCCGCTCACAGCTCGCGGAGCTGCCCGCCGCTGCCCGCCGCTGCCCGCCGCTGCCCGCCGCTGCCCGCCGCTGCCCGCCGCTGCCCGCCGCTGCCCGCCGCTGCCCGCCGCTGCCCGCCGCGCACCTCCGGGCCCCGCTGCATCCCGGACGTCCCCCTCCCCGACGGTGGGCAACCTGCCGCTGCCGCTGCCGCCGCCGCCGCCGCCGCCGCCTCGCTGCTCTCCGCTCCCCGCCGCGGCCCAGCCCGCCTGGCTGCGGGGCAGAGAATAGAACCCGCCGGCACGTGCAGCCCCCCGCTGGAGTTCCGCGTACCTTGGCGGAAAGCGGTCAGAGTCCTTCCCCGAGCTCTCTGGAACACGTCCTCCTCTGCCGCCATAACGCTCGCCGCCGAGAGCCGTCGTCTCGTCCCAGACGGCCGAGAGAGTGGCACCGCCTCCGCCGGGGGCGGCACCTGGGCGCGTGGGAGGATCCCGGGGAGGGGCGGGGGGTCCGGCGGCGCGGGAAGTGAGCGCCGAGGCTTGGCGCCGCCATGTTGGATGGGGGCAGCGGCTCTGGGCGCAAGGCCGGTGCCGCCATGTTGGATGGGGGCAGCGGCTCTGGGCTCAGGGCCTGCTGCGCTCACCGCTGCTGAGGCATTTCGGTGGCAACAAACAGACAAAACCCGCCGAAAACCTGCCTGATTTTCCTGCAAAACTGAAGCCTAAAAGCATCAGGAATTTCCTGATCACCTCGAAGGGATGCTTTTCAGTTGAGGTTTCTACAGTCTTTGTCTCAGTTTTGCTCTAAAAGTTGCTCATAGAATAATTTTCCTGACAGAACGGTCACAACCCCATTCTGCACCTCGTGATATGCAGAGCTCAGTGCTGCTTTGTTCAGCATGTGAAATCTACAGGAGGGCACTGGATTAGGTTGCTGTCACTGCCTGTATGTCCTATGATAGGGTTACTATTCCATGGGGTATTTTCCTGAGTGAAAACTATTTTGGTGCCAGTTTGATTCCAGTTTGTAAACTACTTGATGGTGACTAGATACAAAGCGCTAAAGGAGGTCTTTCTATTAGGAAGCTTGTCAATTCCCCTCTCCTGGGGCAACATTTGGTACATTAAGCAAATATGTTGAAATGCATTTGTCAGTCTCAGGTGCAGACTGTATAAACATCCCAACTCTGCCATAGGAATAGGTGATTATGGTCTAATGCTGGAGCAGCTCCTGCTGAGAGAAGCAATTAGGTGAGTGATCCAAAGAGATTTTTGACCTTTTTTTGTTTCTTTTCAGTTTTTTTCTTGCCTGCTAAATAGGGTTGAGCAGTCGTATAGCAGAATGTAATCTTTCAAGCTGGACAACTTCAACTAAACGCGGGATGGATTTTGCAGTTAAAATGCCATCAAGATCATACGTAGAAGAGTAATGAGAGCATTACTATCTTGTCAAGACAGCTTACTGCAGTTTTGCAGCACAAGGCCATGATTTTGACTGGAACACTTGATTTCCTTTTTCTTAACATGGATGTGTTGTGAAAGGCAATCGTTTTGCTTAAATCAAGGTATGCATGTCTGAAAGCAAGTGAATCAGCCCTGGCAAAGATGTGGATGGTTACAGCCATATGGACTCTAAAAGATTCTAGATTTTACACAAATCTCTGTAATTTCCCACTTTTTTTTTTTTTTCCTAGGCATGTGTAGGGAGTTCTCTTCTACAATTCTGTTGTCAGTGCTGTGTTTGACCTCTTTGCATGGTGGGTCATAGATGAGCCTCGGGATGCTCAGCTCTTTCTAGGTGATGAGTGTGGTGTGCATGTAGAGTGCCTGTACTTCCACCTCTTCAAATGGAATCCTCTGACATTGCATCTGCATGAGTATTGTCTACTGTGATAAAGGTGCCATGAGAAATGTCCATTTTGTAATTTAAACACATTTTCCTCTGATTTTGCAGTCTAAATGCAGAAATGTTTTAATCTGCAGAAATAAAGGAACATTTGCATATAAATGTGAGAACTGAAGATGAAGAGTGTTTGTGCAGGAAGGGCATTTCTGCTCTCTTCTGCTCCCTTTACATGGCCAAATTTGGAGTGAACAGTTTTAAAGCTAGGATCATGGACCAACTGCTACACTCATTTTACTATGACTAAGTGGTGACTACAGATCTACGTTAATTAAATATTTTTGTGGTCTTATTCCAGATGAAGCCTGGATAAAGCAGCTGAATTTTGTCATAGGTCTGGATTTGTTAAATGAAGCATCATTGCTATAATGGCACTGAATAAATAATTTTCAGAATACATATCTGGTCTTATATAGTATAGATTTTAGTATAGTTTAGTATAGTCTTAATAATTTTAAAAACTTAGTGTGAGCATACAGCAGAGAATGTACCATTCTGGAAAAGCAGACAATATGTTGAAAATAAGAAAAAAAGAGAAATGGGGCAGTGAAAAGTTTGTGTAAGGTTTAGCTTAGTAATGATCATGATTAGAACAGGGCAGGTCTGAGGGTCCAGATCTAATACTTACCACAGTACATCTTAGATCGCACTACCAATCCAAACACTTCTTAACTTAGAAGTTCTGAAAGAAAACCCACCAGCTGCAGAAAGTGCCCTTTATTTCCTGTTGCAATTCAAAGTATGATTATATGCACCTCGAGAGGCCAAAATATAGTACCTATTAAATCAGTAATTAGTTTTTTTATTTACTATCTCTAATGACTAATTAGCATGAAAAGCAACATGGTGAATACAGTGGTTGAAAGAAGAAATCCTTTATCTATTCTTAGCAAGTGGTAACAAGATAAATTGGAAAAAGGGAAGAATCCGAAAGGTGAAAAAGGCAAAACGGAGTTGATCCAGACATCGGAATTTAAATTACAAAGCACAAACAGATATGCAGATTTGAAAGTAGACCATTTTAATCTTATACATAGAATAGAATAGAATGACTATGTGCCATCTGGAATGCAGGGAATCCAATGTAGGTTGGAGGTGTAAACAACACACAGCAAATTTTCAGCATCTGTTTTCACTGCTTGATACTATGATTTATATCAGTCCTCAAGTGATAAGTTAGAAAAAATAGGGGAATTAATAAAACCTGTGATATAAAAGGTATCGCATCATTGTGTTTGTTTGGAGACAGTATGGACATAGACAGGCTGAATAAATAAGGCATACAATGTATCAAGTCTATTTTCTGTTTCTCTTTTCTTCCAGTTCCCATAAATACTGTAACAGGAGAGCACTCTTAGTAGATGTTATCTTTTGGAAGGCCTGGCATCTGACACCCTCCTATTTTTCTGCCTCAACAGGTAACAACTGTTTAGTTTTGAAAACTTAAGAGTAGTAGCTTACACTAGCCCATTCTGTTTTCATCCTATTCCATTGCTAAGAATAGAAGACTCCAGTGTGATATGGCAATATAAATACATATACTAAGCAAAACCTAAAACGTTGCAAAATCTGATAAAATATGATAAAACTTATTGTCTGCCCTTTTGATCCTCTGTTTGGAAAAAAAAAAAAAAAAAAAAGAGTAACTAAGTGCTGACTCGGTATTAAAAAGAGTCTTATTAATATTTCACTTTGATACCAAACGGTTTTTCATTTTCAAAGGGTCCACAAAATAATAAAAAAAAAAAGGAAAATGTTTTGCACAAAACAAAAATGTTGGACTGATATTTTCTCACTAGGAAAGGAACAATGATGGCATTGAATTAAGAATTCACAATGTAATTGATTTTTATCTGACTCATTTAGTGTAGGCAGGCTCAATTTGTTCAAGAAACCTGTAATATATTCCTTGAGTCACTGTAACTATGAGAAATATAAAAGTTGATGTAATAAGTTAAACACATTGTTTAACTCAATTTGTTTTGCACACTGATTTCCCATTTCTACAGGGTTTTGTCTAGGTAAGAGTTGGTTTTTTGTAAGATTCTAGTAGATGTTTTACTCATTTTATGTGCTGCCAAATGTTCAGAAGTTCTACTTTATTCCGGGTGCCTCTGATTTTGTATTTCCCTATCTCGATTGCATTTTCATGTACATACTACTTGCAGATCTTGCTGAGTAATTGAGACCTGTGCTGACAGAAAACAGATTTTTGACACAGAGAACTGGGATAATTTTGACACATTACATTTCTGCTCTTGAAGGGTCATGGAAGTTTAAGTTGTGAGTTTGCACTGAAACTGCTAGACACAGAAGAAAAGAAACACAGGAAGTCTGCAGGACTACAGCTAAGTAACAAAATCAAGGCTTTAAGGGAAGTACCCTCCTCCAAAACTATGCAGAAAAGTTGAGATTGACTGCCAGCTCATAATGAACTACCTAAGAACTTCCTGATTTAAACGTTCTCTACATGTGTTAAATTCTGTGTAGTGTATAATTTCTGATGATTGCTGAGATGTGTCCAGTCAATTTAGGGGGAAATTAAGCATATAAATACATACAAAAATACTATTCAGAGTGTATTTTTATCTCCAGAATACTACAAACTTCAGGTATTTATCGTTTAACTTGGTCTGAGAATAAAAATGAAATATTAGTGCTTTTAATTCACATTTAGATCTAAAACTTGGATTTGTTGGATTTCCTTTACTTTTAGGCAAACATGTTTTCCACTAATGAATAAGCAAAAGCAGCAATCTGACAAAAGAAGCACTATTTAGTTTGTGCATGATTTTCAGATTCCTTTCTCCTTTGCTGATGACATTTTATTAGAAAAAAAATAATCTAGATGATCATTAACCACAGTTGCTATTTCTGAAAAAAAAAAAGAAAAAGAAAAAGCAGCAGCAGCAATCTTTCAAGTATTAACATTTATTAAACAGTCAGAGAATTTAGATGTTTCTTCAATTAACCACACAACAAGGATGTTCTTGTTTTACTGTTACACTAGTTAACTCAAAATATACAAGGAGAATCTGTTTGTATTCTTACTCAAACAAAAAGCTAGTTTTAAAGCAGGAAAACAGAATTCATCCTCTTTCTTAAAAAGGGTTTTTTTTTTCTTCTTTGAACATCAACTGCTTAACTTAAATATATTTTTGAGAAACACAGGTGCATCACCAAACTGAACATAAAGAAACAACCTCAGAATGCTCTGAGAAAAAATTGTCATAGTGATCATAAAAAATCTGAGAAAAAGGATCCACAGTCATGCCACTTTGAGAAGTTGTAGCTTCTACAGATTGCAGAGTGAGGTTTAGCTGTCCTCTTTTGTGCAAGTGGAAACTAAGTTATAGATTAAACAGGCAAATAAACCTTCTTGTTGAGTAGCCTTCACTACTGTCCCCTCAACAGATAGGCTTACTAATAATTGCATCAGCATTTGAGAGAATTTTTACTGCCTTGGAGAATTACTTCTGTTCTCTGAAATCTTCACAGAACTCTTACAACTGTGTGTTCCTGTTCGCTCATGTTGTGTACCAGATTTTACATGTGAGATAGATCTTAAAATTGACATTACCATCTGTGATGTCACTTGTATAGCAGTCACTGAATTTCATGAAACAGAATGACTAAGAAGCAGGCATCTATTTTGCCATAGTTTTTTTATCAAATAAAATGTTTTTCCATAATTAAAGGTGGAACTGAACAGAGAAGTATTATGTATAGGAGAAGGTAACACTTCCTATTACAAACCTGTCAGCTTAATTTGTAGGAAATATGACTTCAAAATTAAATAGTACTTGATTGTTTTATATTTCAGATGTGTCTAGCACTTCTGCTCCTCAGAATTTCAAGTCCTTTTGTTCCTATTGTATTAGATAAGCAGAAGTATCCATTTTTCAGTAGTGTTATCTCAGCAATAAATTACATTTTGCATTCCTCTCAGGTTCCTCATCTAAAGATCTATATATTTACTATTATTTTTCAGACCATAGGTAAAAAGAGATAAATATCAAGTCTCAACGTAGGTAGAGGCACACAGAGGCAGGTCTGTGAGGTAAGACATGCCCCACAAAACTTCTATTTGCCTAATTAATAACCGATTAAGACAAGATTGTGCCTTCATCCATGCAAACAAAATGCACCTGTTTTGCACTAACCCTTCACTTCACACACGCTCCTCCTTCACTGTGTTTGTGATGATTTTTTTCAAATTTCTTCCAGCTGTATTTATTCATAACAACTGGCAACACTCTGCGTATTCCCACTGTGACTTTTAAATATTTTACCCTCCAGCACTTTTCAAATATCTTCTACAAATACAACATAGTCCTGTGACTAAGTACAAAATGGCATACTTTATTCCTGATCGAAAAGTGGCTTTTCTGCTCTTTTATACTTTTTATACCTTTTATACCTTTCATACTTACTTGAAAAAATTAGTTTCTGTGAGCCCTTGGACACAGTCTCCTGGAAACAAACAAACAAACAAAGAACTTTCATGAAGCCTAGTAATGTTTGCTTATGAGGCATGGTGGAATCGTTGGATGCTGTTCAGGAAAAAATTACTTAATGCCAATCAGTAGAAGACTGAAGACCATTTGTCTATACGAACACACTCAACAAGCAGAGATGTTACAGACTGCATCTGAGCTTTGATGACACCCATTTGACAAAAGTCTGTCTACAAACCTATGGTCTTAAACCTATGGGGCTTCTTCACAGAGTAAACTATGGGAATGAATGATAAAATGGGAGCATCCTGGAAATAGTGAAGCATGATTAAAGTTTTGTTGAACACAATGGGATGGATTCAACAACTATCACATTTTTTTAAATAATTAACTGTGCTGAATTTTTCATGGAAGAGCACAACATTCATATGGTATAATTACTACACTGTGAAATGCATTTGAATTAGAACAAGATGTCACTGGGTAGGTAGATTCACAGTGTCAGGAAATGTTGTCCTCCCCAGGTTCTAGGAATTATGTGCTTTACATTCTCTTGCAGCACACAGTACAGGCTACTACTAATAATATATCCATAGCTGAACAAAAAGTATGGCAGGATTATTTAAAATGTTTAATTATTCAAATGAAAGAATTAATTGACTGTGCTTTTTTTTTTCTTTCTTTCTTTTTTTTTTCTAGTTCTAAAATATTTCTAAACATTGGAAGAGCTCAGCATGATAGGAAGAGTATAATAAGTATAATAATAAAATAAGTGGAAGCTTAGAACTTTCCTAACAACTGAGACTGTGGCATACACTGTGTACAAGCAGTCATTTGGAGTTACCTACATAAATAAAAGACAGGAGAGATCCCCACAGAGTAATTCAAGTCATTGACCACTGTACATGGTCTGTTCATGCACTTGATGTGCTATAGTACTTAAAGGGCATCTATATCAGAAATAAGAATGAGATGTCTGCTTAGGATCAGGCTTGGATGTGCTGACCTGAAAAAGCATCTGTTACCTTGCTGTCAGCCAGAAATAATGATATCATTAACAGACTAGTAGTAAAATTTCCAGTTTCAGCTTCCAAAGCCAGAAGAAATCTGTGTAGTTCTGGTGTGCTTTGGTCTTGCCTTTCTACTCTTCACCAGGCACACAGGAATGCTTTCTCTTTATATAATAAAAAGAGTGATTTTTTAATATTTTTTTATTTTTATTTTTATACTAAAAACCACTAGAAAATCCATGCTTTTCAAGCTTCTGCCAAGTTGGCTTAATTGGGCTCTTTAGATGAAAAAAACTAGCACGAGGCTACACTAGTAGTCTCAAAGCTCTGATTTTCATGCTTTAGCACTGATTTACTTCTGGATAAACTTTGGTTAATCACATTTCTCCAACTCAAGCAAATAAAGAGCCAAATGCGCCCTGGTTGAAAGGAGTCCTGGCTTAATTTAAGTCCATTAGAATTCCTTTCTCCCAGTATTTACTATTTTATGTAGCTTTTAAAGTGTAATTGTTTTGGAGGCATCCAGGTATGTACACAGGAGAAGTATTTCAGCAGATGAAATCCACTCATAATTAATTTTGCAATGGAAAATGTTTTAGTCAAGTCCTAGTATACTGTCTAACAGATTCATAAACCATGGATACTGACATCTGCTCTGCCTGCAACAGTAATTCCTTCACTTAACTCTTGAGAGTACCTTTGTCTACAGATCAGAGATCATCTTGTGCATAGCCACTTTGTCTTTGACTTGCAGTGACCCTGCCAGCAAGGACAGAAAGTAGTGCAAGATGCAATGGTATTCTTAGGCAGTGCAGCTAGTAAGATTTTGAGAACTTAAGTAATTGTGATTTCTCTTTTAAAAAGAGTTGGGTAAATATCCTGCAAAACATTTTGTGAAATGATGCCATTCCTATTTTTTTCACTTTTCCTTCCTTGGAGATAGACATTTGTAATATTGCTGCATTCTTACAGTATTTATTTCATCTTCTAGATTAAAACAAAACAAAACAAAACAAAAAACCAAAAAAACTCTAAACTGCCACATTTGCATAGATCCCATGTAAGAAGAAAAAGTGCAAGGTAGGAAGACTTTCTCATTGAGCTACTGAACAATAAATCTCACTTGAATAAACATAATAAAGCCTAAAGCCATTCTGGTCAAAACTTGGCTAAGATGATTGAGTAGACAAGATGGGCATATAAAAGGAGAACTCACGTTTATTTATGAACCAGCTAGGGCTTTTGAAAAGTTATTTGGTAAACTGAAGAATCAAGAGAGTAAAGCGACATAGGGATGTTATTTCTGCAAAAATCGTACGCCTCTCACAGTCTAGACTACATCAACAGTGAAGAAAGAGAGCATATGATTTTGCACATTCTGCAACTAAATTCATAAAAACCAACAAGACTCAATGGACAAAATCATAAACATTTGGTGAGCACCTTGATGTGTGGAGGAAGAGGGAGAAGCACCAGCTGGATCATCACTGTGGTACCAGAACACCTTTACAAGCTCTAAGAGTAATCACAATTAAAGGATCACAGAATCATAGGATTGTTTATGTCGGAGGGCCCTCTTAAGCATCATCTAGTCCAAATTCTCTGCAGTAGTACAGGGAAATCTACAGCTAGATCAGCTGGCTCAGAGCATGGTCTATTCTGACCTTGAATGTCTCTAAAGATGGGGCACCAACCACATCTCTGGTCAACCTGTGCCAGTGCCTCTCCACTCTTATCGTAAAAAGCTTCTTCCTTATATCTAATCTAAATCTCTCCTTTTTTCAGTTTAAAACCATTTCCTCTTGTCCTGTTATAACAGTCTCTGCTAAAGAGTCTGTCTCCTTCTTTCACACAGCCTCCCCCTCCCTTTACATACCTGAATGCTGCTATTAGGTTGAACAGCTCCAGATCTCTCAGCCCGTCTCTGTAGGAGAGGTGTTCCATCCCTGAATCAATTTTATTGCCCTCTTCTGGATGTGTTCCAACAGCTCCATGTCTCTCCTGTACTGAGGACTCCAAATCTGGATGCATTGCTCCGGTGAGCCCTCACCTGCACAAAGCAGAAGGGCAGGATCCCCTCCCTCAACCTGCGGGCCGTGCTCCTTTTGTTTTGTTTCACAGAATCACAAGGTTGGAAACGACCTGCAAGATCATCTAGTCCAACCACCCTCCCATTCCTATTAGTTTGATGCATCCCAGGATACAGTTGGCTTTCGGGGCTGTGAGGGCACACTGCTGGCTCAGGCCCAGCTTCCCATCCATCAGTCTTTTTCAGCAGTGCTGCGCTCTGAACTTTCATCCCCCAGCTTGTATTGGCAATGGGAGTTGCCTCGACCCAGGTGCGACACCTTGCACTTGGTTTTGTTGAACCTCATGAGATTCACCTGGGCCCACTGCTCAAGCCTGTCTAGGTCTCTAAGGATGGCATCACCTTCCTCTAGGTTTCTGTTTGTATCTGACAAAGGATTTGTTAATCTCATTATTACTGCTGTGAAATAAGGTGAAAATAATGAAATTTACATTTTACTCTGAAGGAGTTGAGATTTGTAATTGTTCCAGTATCATAGGGAATTAACTCCATGGCTTTATGCCAGCTGCCAAGAAAAAATTATATATGTATGGCACAGAGACGAGTCTTCTCTTGTCCCTGTGGAGTGTAACTGTAATGAAAGGTCGTGAAGTCAGACAAAAGCAGCCTTCATTCTTACACTGGCAAGGTGCACAAACGTTGCTTAGGATAGATGTAGGCAGGAAGGTAGAGACAAAGATTGCTGATTTTCATTGGCTTCCCTAGCAGTGCAAACAGTTACTTTCAGCCTATGTGCTGCAGAGCTGTCCTTATCACTCTGCTGGCAGACCATGCCTCCCCTGGGCTTCAGTGTGCTGATGGACATAGAAACCAGAGCTCTATCTGAATGCATTTTGAGCAGTATATAGCTATCTAAGCTGGTGCTTAAGGGTGCACTGTATGTGAAATACTCCTTAAATATTTCCATATTCCTTCTACATAATATGCATGATAATCTGGCCCTTATCTTTGTTATTTTTGTCTAACATTTTTTGGTGGCTTTTTTTTTTTTTTTTTTAGATCCTTTAATGTTATTTTTTTTCTTTCACTATGAATAATGTGAACCTTATACCAACTTTATAAAGTGATCCCATTGCAACCAAAGGAATTTTATATCCTATTAAAAACACCTCAATGAGAATAAATTTGAGGATCAAATCTTGATCCTCACAGTGAAATCTTCTCATTATGGTAATATTCCTTTTAACACTAATGAGATTTTGTCCTCTGTGTACAGCTATCAATAAGTAATTAATGACAACCACCAGACGTAATACCCCAAATATCTTTTGCAATAAGATGAAAAGACTGAAAACTAGATACAGATTCAGTCTTTGCATGGAGAATCTATTTCTGGTCTTGCTATACAAATGTTTTTTTTAACTTAAGCTAAACATCATGACAGAAACAAGTGAGATAATTTGGTATTGTAAGATCTCTGCTCTTTTTCACTTGTGGTCATTTTGTGTATTAAAATACTTGCAGTGAAAAGTGATCTGGTTATTCAGGCATTGAAATAATCTGTTTCTTCATCATATTCTCAAGGCTCACTTCAATTGTTCTACTTTGCACAGAAATTACATGTGATTTCCTTTTTAAATTTAATATTTCTTTTAAAGAACAATCACTGTATTCACAGGGAGAATTCGTGAAACTATAAAATCATATTTAATATTTCAAGGTGTATATAAATTACATTACTTTAAAGAGGCCAGCTTTCTGTCAGATGTGTGGGAGTGAATGACAGACTAATTCCCACACACCCCCAAGAAAATTGAAAGCTGTCCTTTTACTAAATATTCAGTTACAACTGGCCCTAAATATACACCATTTCCATATTATACAGATGTATAATTATTGCAGCTTCTTTACATTTTACTCCCATGTCACTTGCCTATACAAATATGCAGATGAAACAAACCATTCCGAAAACAGTACTCTGATCTGCCAGCATTTTATATTAAAGTGTTCCACTTTATTTTCATCTCATATTCATGTGCTGGGGAGCAGATATCCTAAATGTGTTATTAAAATTAGATTATATTTATCAGGTTTGACATAATCTGCTATTTTCTATCAGCTGTGTAGAACCAAGGAATATCCTGATTTGGATGAGATCCACAAAGGACCACCCAAAATTCAAACCATGCATCTAAGAGCAGTGTTGGGGTTGTGACCACTGCCCTGGGAGCTTGTTCCAGTGCCAGACCATGTAAGGTGAAGAACCTTTCCCTTATTTGATCTGACCTTCCCCTGACCACTGATATCTGCTCTCATCATCGGCTTATACCGCTTCAAGATTCCCTAATGTTTTCACATTACAGTTAAAATCCTTTAATTTATGCTGATGTCCATCAGCTGTGTGAAAAAAGTTTATTAATTTTGTTTTGTTTTGTTTTTACAGAGCACATTATTTACTTTAAGTAGTTACTTTTCAGTGAACTATTGACATGATGCAAATTGCAAAGAGACTGGATTGGTGTCTTTTCCTTCAAGATATGTAAAACACAATGCCAAGACAGATATTCTAGACAGATACTTGAGGTAATTATAATTGCACTATCTGAGTGCTAAGAAATACCAGTTATGAATCCCACAAACACTAGCAGAATTGTCTCTAGAAAGTAAGCACATGAAACTGCATTTAGTTTCC